TGAAATTTCATAATTAGTCTTGAGCATATTCAGTATCGCCTCGTACGTATGTCCTGATTCAAAATATTCCTGGATAACGGCAGCTATGTTTGGGGCGCCGACAATATCCATGTTTTCAAAAGCCGCAGCAGGCAGAATTACTTCCGGTTCAAGGGTCAAACAGTGCCGTCGTCCAAACAGCGATGTCTCGTGTTTCCCACTGGTACCTACCTTTTCCGGTAGGTTAATGTAGTTTTGTTTCTCTTAATGTAGTTGCGCTTTGCTTTATGTAGTTTTGTTTTTCTTAATGTAGTTGCGATTTCCTTAATGTAGTTGCGCTCTTAGATTTGTAGTTGCAGTTTGCACTTCAGGGCCACCGTACATTTCTGTGTGTCGCCCCAATTATCAGACAGAGAATTGTCTGAAATGTAAAAAAACAAAAACAAAACAGAGCCTTATTTCAATCTATAAACAGCCTGTGGACTCTCCCCTGGTCATACCATGGAAGGGGCATGTGGTTAGAAAGTTTTTCATTCAAAGATAAACAAGAACAAGTTGAAAAGTTTGTTCCCTGAACAAACCAGAGAACTTTAGGATCAGTGTCCAAATTTGAGCATAAAACATTTCTTCCAGTTTTTCATAGACTCAAACACACTTTAGAAGGACCATACAGAGCAAACAGAGATGGACGAGAGAAATGTCAACCAGAGGGTCTGGGCTTCATGCCTCAGTCACTGAACGCATGAGAACAGGAGCTTCCTGAGTAAACCAAATTATTCTACAGTTAAATCTGAGGCCATCTGTCTGACAGCTGAAGCTTGACTCAAACTGGGACGCTGATCCCAAAACTGAGCAGCAAATGTGAAATAAAAAAAACTAAAATCAGTGTATTGCAAAGGCCAAGCCAAAGCTCGGACCTCAACGCAAATAAAGTCCAAAACAAGACCTTTAGAGGCCGCAACATTAGACAGTTTAGTTACAACTATATAAAAAGATTCACTTAGTGAATTGAGTTACAAAAATAAACTGACTTTTCATTAGGCTATTATTCTACTTTACTGAAGACGACTTTAAATAACATGTTGCTGTTATAACTGCACATTACTGGTAAAATAAAAATAAAAAATTCAGTTACTGTTAACGTTGTGGTGATGATACCAGTTGGAGTTGGTCCAAATTCTCTCGTTCTTTTCCATGCTTATAATATCCCTACAGTGTCAGTAGCCTCTAGGGTACAGATAACTTCATTCTTTGTCATTTTAAATCTGCCCATTTTGCTGTCTAAAAAACGTATTGCTAATGGACATGTGAGGAAAAATGCAAAGCTACATAGCAGCAAAGTTATAACTGAAGAATAACTTAAAACAATCAGAGTGCCTCCCTTCGGTCTTTTAAGAAGAAGATTCCATATATTCATTAAGATGAAGATTGATTTAGCATCCCTACAATTATTTTTATGTATTAAAGTGTTGCATGAGGTGGTCCCATTGTTTTCTGTCTAAATCCGCTCCACCTTTGACGTTTCAGCTGTGCTGCAATAATCAGAGCTTTCAGGGAGGGAGTCTTTATCAGGTGCAAATCAACCAATAAGAAGCAGAGTTTTAGAACTTAAAGGCCAAATCAAGCAAGACAGCAGATAAAAAAAAAATGTTGTCTTTTATTTTCTCTACAAAACTGTTTAAAGAAGAGAAACGTAAACATTTAAATGGGCTGTCCATATAGATTAAACCAGGGGTGACCAATTAAAAATCAGTGGTGTCCAAATAAAGAAAATCAACACCCAGTAAAGGTCCAGAGATATATAATTATAATCTATTACTTTAAATGGAATTTGATATTACAATTAAGAGTACAATCAAGACAGAACCGATATTACAATTAAAACTAATTTCAAACTACCGAGCAGCTTCAGTTTTTGTTTGCATTTACATTTCTTTCTTTTAAACCCAGCTAGGAACACTAAAAACAATTTAACAGTGATACGAATTAACACACTTTATGACACCAACTTAAAAAATAGGCAAAGTAATGAACAAGTTTGACAGTGAAGTAGTAAAGGGGGAAAAAAGTACGTTGATTCTGAACAGGGCTCAGCATTAATCAGTATGTTAAGAAAAAATAAAACCCAAACCAGTAAAGCAAAGAGCTAATTCAGCAGGTGTTCACTTTTTACACTGGTAGAATACTTCAGTCTTTGGATTTATAAGATCTAATCTTGGTCAGAGTCCAGTCAAGTTAAAGCCACATAGCAGAGAGCAAACAGCTGCTCTGCTGCTCACCTTTCACATCACCTGCACCATTGTTCTCTACAGTTTTTTGCTCCTGTCAGTTAGGCTTAACATAATACAGGGGAGCCTCCTGTGTCCATCTGACTTCCTTCTAAGGGTTGAATGGTTGAGCCTTTAGGTGGGCAGCATCTTATCTATTGGGTTAGTTTTAGTCCACAGAACAACAGCTCAACCCTTAAACTGAGCGCTACCCTGGGCACTACAGCTTTAACAGTGTATTTTCAGAGAGGACTGCTCTACGCTCTGTTTGCAGCTCATTTCGACACCCACTGGCAGGAGCATTTCCGCTGCATTAAACCTAAATCCCTGCTAGGAGCCTCCTCGGATCGCTGCGGGAAGAAATTACATGCAAACATTTAGATTCCGAGGAAGTGAACAGGATTAACATATAAAACGCCCCATTAGCTTTAATAGCAATGTCATGTTGCAGCTTCACAGGAGCAATTTATGAAAATTAAAGTTTGTTTTCAACAATTAGTTATACAACTAAGCCAGTGCATGTAGCAGGATGGGGCTCTTAGGTTTTGGTAAGATCGCCTTGGAAAGTGAAAAATGCTTCAATCTGGTATGAAGCTAAAGAGGGTGAACAGCTTGCAGTTGTAAGCAAAATACACGCATGGCAACAAAATTCATCACAAATATTGTCTCTCAAAATTATTTATAACCTTTCCAAAGGTGCCCAGTTTTACTATGTTTCAATGGAAAACTTAAATTGATACGTTTTTCAAAAAAGGAGATTAATGCAGAAACACCATTATACCTGAGCTTCACATTTAATTAGAAACAGGATCAGAAAATTTGTGACGTAAATGTTTTTATTTAGCCCACTTCAATATAAATAAGATTGAGTGCAACTGATTGCTTTCCGAATTCCCCTAAAATTGCTCTTATTTGAAGGGTATAACTTATTATTATCAAATTATTTAGTTTTAATGAAGTAAAATCAAGTATTGCTTAAACAAATGCATATTCTTCCAAAGTCTAATAATATCCAATATATATGCAGAGCTGTCAAGTAACGAAGTACAAATACTTCGTTACTGTACTTAAGTACACTTTTTTAGTGTAGTGGATGGCGCATCATGTGCGCAGATCATTGGCGCCATCACATCTAGTGAAAACTAGTGTCATTGGATTCAGTCATATAACGCAAACCCTCATGGGTTAGCTAAAGGAAATCATTAGAATCAAGCAGGTGTTCTTCAAACTGGAAACGTGAATCGTCTATACCATCCTACAATGTCGTATTCAGAAAAAGATGTTGAATTGTCTGAAAGGTCGGACACAGGCGAGAGCGTATTAGGAGACGGAGAC